GGGGGGGGGGGGTTCTAGGCGAAGCGAGGCGATGAGGCGAACAAGGGTCAAACAGGTTGCACCAGTCCTCCACAACGGCACCGGTGACTGCCGTAGAACCAACGATCTGGAAGGCGAAGGTGCTTGATCTCCTGTCGTACAGGTTGGATGTACTTGGCAACTGTGTTTCCACCGGAGTAGGGGAGAGGAGGAGGAGAAGAGCGAAAGAGCGAGGGGGCGGGAAACGTGGGAGAGCCGTCGATTCAAGGCCATAGAGTTGCGCCTTCGGTGCCCACGTCCATCCGCTTACGACGGAGCTCTGATACTCTAGGTTGTTGTCACTATATCATGGTTTAGAGATGGCTGAATCCGTATTCTACTCAATGTGTACATATGTGCTCAGAGAGATCCCTGGATCTAGCTACAGAAATTGGCATCTGTACCCAGAGAGAACTCGAGCATCGTCGCCCGAAGGCCGTCTATGTACACACACGAACGGGAACTGCGCGGCTCGATAGTTGAAAATATCACCGAGGCCTGCCCAGGCCTGCCCGAGATGATGCGCGGCTGTGCAGGCTGCGCGTCGCGTCCGTACTATCACGGGCATAAACACTTCGCGAGCTTTGCTCACCTCCTCAGCGGCTTAACATATTGTTGCCTACTCAAGCACTACGAAGCTCAACTTCGCAGTCGCTCGGCCGACACTTTGCATCATCAAAGTCATCGGACGGTCGAAACACCTTCCCCAGACGCACGTTCTCGCCACGCACTGCACTGAAATGACCTTGGATGCACTATCCATTGGTTGATTCACACCGCTCTCAAGAAAGTAGCGTGTACGACAGTCGTAGTTGTTCACACAGGGCGAATGTAAGAGACATTAAGCATAGATGGCCGTGACCGGAAGCCAGGTACTACTCAGTGGGGAAGATTCACATGCACGTCAAAAAGATACTAACTTGGTCACCTACACATGCGGTGGATATGTATGTGCAAGCCAGAGCCCAGTGCTACCTGGTATAGCGATTATATGAAACCGTACTCTCTCACCGCGGACGAGAGTCCGAGTCAAGTCACGGGCGAGCAATGACATAGTCTTGCATATCTTCTTGGTTTGCTAGCCACTCAGGGTCGCGCGCGAGAACGGTCTACGGAATGAGCATAGGATTCCTAATGGTGACTCCGCACTTACCATCACTAAGATTTCCTGACGGCTGTTGAACTCATTGGCCTGCAGTACTTGCCCGCCGCACTCTTTGTACTCGTCCAGGTGCATATACCATCTTCGAAAGGTCATAGTCAGAGACAAAACGTAGTCGACCCAGCTCTGAAGTACCTCTTCTGAAGCCGCTTCGCAAGCTTGAACTTGTAGCCGTGGGAGACGAAGGTGTCCTTGTCGCACTGCAGAGAGTACTTTGAACGCGGCTTCGCGACGTGGTTGTTGGCTTTCTGACGGGTTTGGGTCCAAAACCCGCCACTGTAAGATCGTCTGAATGAGAGAGCTGGATTCTTATAA